TCCTCCTCCTCCTCCTCCTCCTCCTCCTCCTCCTCCTCCTCCTCCTCCTCCTCCTCCTCCTCCTCCTCCTCCTCCCTCGAACTGGACGATTCGCTGAGGCGCCGCGCACTCTCCCCGAGTCCATATCCACCAGCTGCACGGCTTGAGGGCGCCGTCGTCTCTCTCACGCACCCAGGGGAACGAACAGGTGCCGACAACGCTGCTCCCCACACCTCTCCCGGGGTGCGCTCTGACCAATATTTGAGACAGGGCTGGACCGAAACGTTGTTTTTTCCCCAATCAGTGCTTGCACTGAAGGGGTCCTAGCGGAAATTGAAAGATTTGGCGAGAGTTCCCCGCCGATTTTGGTAGCAGGCTGGGTTTCCGGGTTACCGGTTCTGGATTCCCAGGTTCCCGGTTATTGGCTCCGGGCCGATTTCGGTGGGTTCTGCAGTTCCTGGGCTCCCAGGTTCCGGGTCGATCTCCTCAGCGAAAACCATCCACTAATTGGGATTTTTCTATTGTGTAATGTGTTTTGGTTTCGGTTAGTTGTTCGTTTCGCTCTTCCTAGTTTCCTGTGCCTCCCTGCCAAAAAGAAACGCAAGGCACGGCCGAAGTCCAACAAACAGCGTCTAGGTCCAGCCCTGTTTCGAGAGTCCAGCCGCGGCGAGAGGGTCCCTGAGATCCGACGTTGCGAAAAAATGCAGCATCGCACACGATCGCGGCCGGAGCCCCAGACCCCATCTTTCGACGGCACTTCTCGAGCCGGATCGGTCTGCAACGGTCATGGGGCCCGACTCCAGGCGGAAATTCCTGGTATGACAAAGCTGCAACGCCCGGATCTCAGGGCCTCGCCACGACGAGCTGCGGCACCCTACCCTCCTCTGACGCACATCGCTCTACTGGCCAGCGCCATCCGGTCTTCCCTGCGTGCCCTGCAGCTGCCGCGCGCACGTGAACAGCGCCGACCAGGGGTGGTGGTGGTGGTGGTGGTGGTGGTGGTGGTGGTGGTGGTGGTGGTGGTGGTGGTGGTGGTGGTGGTGGTGGTGGTGGTGGTGGTCGTCTTCCTCGTCGTCGTCGTCGTCGTCGTCGTCGTCGTCGTCGTCGTCGTCGTCGTCGTCGTCGTCGTCGTCGTCGTCGTCGTCGTCGTCCAGCATCGGCAGTCTGAGCGGGGTGCCCTCTCGTCTCCTCCTCCTCCTCCTCCTCCTCCTCCTCTTCCTCCTCCTCCTCCTCTTCCTCCTCCTCCTCACCCTCCTCCTCCTCGGAGCCTCCTCCTCCTCCCCCTCCTCCTCCTCCTCCTCCGAGGAGGAGGACCTCCTCCTCGCCTCCTCCCGCGCCCAGGCTTCTTCCGCGCGGCCTATGCGGCGCGCCGAGGGCCCGAGCTGCGGTTTTGGTGCTGCGGGAGCCCACTGCGCCGCGGTGCGGCTGCGGCCAGGGGGGCAGCTGCGAGGCAGCCACGAGGCACTCCCTCCTCCCAAGGTCCTGCCACAGAGGAGGCTCGACCACGAGAAATATCAAGAAACCCTCCACAAGAGACCCAGCCCTGAGACCCCAGGACGTCCATTGATTTTTGGCGTGGGAAAGTCACGCTTTCCATGGCAGAACCATCGAAGCCTAAGAAACTCAGGGCACCCTGGAGGCAAGCAGGGTGTTTCTTGGCATGGGCCTCCACTGTACTCTTCCTCGTCCTTCTCGTCATTTTCTTCGTCCTCGTCTTTCTCCTCGTCGTCGTCCTCCTCTTCTGTGCGGTCCACCACGCATCTTCTCGTGCCCCCGCGCCTCCTCCTGCCAAAATGCAGATGGCCATCGTGAGACAAGTAATGCTCGGGATTGGAGTCCAAGGCGAAATCAGGCGAAGGTCGGAATGAATGGGAAGGAAGAGGGATGGGGAGGAGAGAAGAGGGAAAGATATAGGGCAGAGGAAGGACGGGCGAGGGGATATCGAGTGGGGAGAAGGATGGGGGAGGGAGCAGAAGGAGGTGAGGTGAGGAGAACAGGGGGGGGGGAAAAGAGGAGGGAAGGGCGACTGGAGGGTGCCAGGGGATGAGAGGGTATGGGAGGACGAGGGCCAGGGGAAACGCCCTCCTCTGCCGTGCCCCGTCCCTTTCGGCACTTCGGACTTCCGGCCATTCAGCAAGGAATTAAGCGCGCTCGAGACCGCTCCAAGCTTGCGCCTTGCAGGGTTGTGCCCCGCTGCCCAGTCCTGTTGCCGCAAGGGCCTTGCATCCCTCGCGCAGGTGGAGGAAGAGGAGGGGCGCGGAGGAGCTGACGCTGCCAGCGGCACACACTCATAGCCCGTCGAAGAAAAAAGAGAGAAGGAACAGGCCGATTCCGATGGTACCCCCAGGGAGGGAGGAGGGAGAACTACCACCTTCTCCCATCCACGAGCGCCAAATCTAAGAACCCGGCGCCCACGGGGGGGGAGGGGGGGGCAGCCCAGAGGGCCGAAAACCTCGAAAACCAATGATTGCATCCAGGCTGGACATGACCCCCCCCCACTCTGGAGGGCAACATGCCTACAGAAAATATTTGGCCAGACGGTGGCGGCGAAGACGCCGACGACGACGCCAGCGGCGACAACTGCGGAGACGGCCACGGCGCATATCCGCCACCGTGCCACGAGGCGCGAGCTGGAGTCTCCTCAGGTTCCTTAGAGTCACCCGTCCTCAGTCCCAAGTGAATGATATTAAAAGGCCCGCGCCCCAGATTACCAAGAGGCCTCCAGGACGCCCCAAGAGAGCTCCAAGAGGCCAACCAAGAGGGCCCCAAGAGGACCAGACCGTTGATATTTCCCTTTGACCCCTGAAAAATTATAGCGCTCTCGCGTTTGCGGGCTCCAAGAAGGGCCCAAGAGAGGCTCCAGAGGAACATCGCGAAACGACAGTTCGAGCTCTCCGCCTCAAGAGGACCTCCGAGGCCGCCGAGCAGGCCCGCAAGCCCCAAGAGAGAGGCCCCCCAAGAGAGACCCCCAGAGAGGCCCCAAGGACACCCCCAAACCGCCTCCAAGGGGCCTCCTCCTTGCCCTCCTTTCGTTCCTTCTCCCTCTCTCCCTCCCCTCCTCCTCCTCCTCCTCTTCCTCCTCCCTCCTCCTCTCCTCCTCCCTCCTCCTCCTCCTCCTCCTCCTCCTCCTCCTCCTCCTCCCTCCTCCTCCTCCTCCTCCTCCTCCTCCTCCTCCTCCTCCTCACTCCCTCCCCCTCCTCCTCCTCCTCCTCCTCCTCCTCCTCCTCCTCCTCCTCCTCCTCCTCCTCATCCTCCTCCTCCTCCTCCTCTCCTCCTCCTCCTCCTCCTCCTCCTCCTCCTCCTCCTCCTCCTCCTCCCCTCCTCCACCTCCTCCTCCTCCTCCTCCTCCTCCTCCTCCTCCACAACTACAAAGAAGTCTCCCAAGAGATCTCCAGAGGTATCCAAGAGGCCTGTGGCGTTCAACCAAGGCACAACTGTGGGATGGGCCGAAGGCCACTAGGTAGTAGGAAGGGGGAGGGGAGGAAGGCACGGACGGCGGGGGTGCTAGCTTGTGCTCAAAATGGCCAAAGACGCAACCAAGATCAAAGCGTGAGGATCGCACCACCAATACCGCGATACATTCACATGCACCTCACATCTCCACTAACAGCACTGTTTGCCAGCGTGGACCCCAATAGTGAGTTCTTGCGCCCCACAGGTGTGCAGGAAATGTGATGCAAGCAATGTGGTGCAAGCTATGCGTGGTACAAACCATGCAGTGCAAGCAATGTGGTCCGGGCAAGGTGGTGCAAGCTCTGGGGTGGAAGGCGTGTGGCGCGAGCTGTGCGGTGTCAGCCGTGCGGTGGCAGCAAGAGTGTGCGAGCTGTGGATCGCGAGCTGCGTGCAGGGCAGCCGAGCACGAGGCAGCCGTGATATGCGCTGGCGCCCTCCCCCCCCCCAACGCCTGGCGAGTCACCCCGGGCGGGCCCGCCCAGGAGCACGGCATGCCGACGAGGCGCCCACGGCCGCCCGCGGGGCGAGGCCTCGGCAGACCTGGCCCGCGCACGGGGCGCCCACGAGGCGCCCACGGCCGCCCACCGGGCGACACCTCTGCGGACCCCTTCCCACTTCTTACTCGGGACGCAGGGAAGGATCCCAAGCGCAAACGCTGCTTGAGGAATGCTCCGCCGACTCGCGTAGAAGATGCGCTTTTGGGCTATCTGGGACCCTGGGATCTTCGCTCGACGGCCCTGCCAAAGATTGGCACCGTGGTGCCCAGGGGAGAGACAAGGAATGAGTGCACTGCCTGTCCACTGGGTTTCAATGCCGCAGGCGCCGCGTGACCGCTGGGTTCCGCTCCAAGCGGCAGCTGCTGGAGCAACCCTGGCGCTTAGCCGCGCACCAAGTCTCCTCCTCTTCCTGCTTTTTCTTTTTCTTCTTCTTTTTCTTGGCTCCAGCTTCGCCCTCGTCTGCCCACTCCTCTTCTGCTGGTTGCTGTTCCCACCAATCCTCTTCGTCTTTGCCGTGCTTCTTGCTTTTCTTTTTCTTTTTCTTAGAAGCTGTCTCCTCCTCCTCTTCCTCTTCCTCCTCGTACCATTCCTCTTCATCTTTCTTGTGCTTCTTCTTTTTCTTCTTCTTTGGCTTACTGGATGCCTCTGCGACAGATGGAGAGAAACACAGTGGCACGCAATAAGAAACACTCTTGAGCATACCGTCTTCAGGCATCGGACTGCGCGATCTCCCCAAATTATGTGGCACGATACGCATCCGCAACACATGCATTGCGCCGTTGATCGTGATACTTGTGCTGCAGCTGGAGCAGGCTGAATTGAAGCGATACTGCTGGGCGTGAATGAGTGAGAACCGTGATGCACAGTGTAACAACGTCGCAGAAAACATGTCGTTGAGATGCGTGCGCAGCTGTGCGTGTGGAAGCAGAGACAAACACAGCAGCAGCGTAGGGAAGGGGAACCACCCCAGCCCTGCCAAGTCAGCTCCACCCATCCTGCTCCCGCCCTCCCCGGCGCGCGTTGGCCCTCTGGTCGGCCTGGCGTCGCACTACTTGGGGAGAGGAGGGGGAGAGGAAGATGAGACACCTGCGGGGCGCGGGGCCCACGGGTGCCACGGAGGCTCGAGCTCCACCTTGCCCGATACCCCTGGCAACAGACCACGGCGCAACTTCCGCAGTTCAGTATCCGATGCTGGGTGACACACGGGATCCCTGAGACGAACCGCGCAACTCGAGGCGGTGGCGCCGCATGCATTGCAGAAGAGTGCGGGCACACCCGTCTCAGACACAGCCGTAACAAGAATCTTATGCCCGTACTCTGGTTTCTGCGCCTGCAGGAGCACGTCTTGAATTGAAACCGAGAGGGAGAAGCATCGCGTGGTGGCCAGCAGCTTGGCTCCAGACCGATGGCACGCCTCGTACCTCCAGCAGCTCCCGTCCCAGACTTGGGTGTGGGGCACCCTCGCAAACGCATTCTGCCCACTGGAACCCTGGGAGCCCGCTAGAGGGGGCCGAGGAGCTCTCGAGTGGGGGGCCACAGTTCAAGTATGCCATGAGGTCTAGTTGAGGGGCCGCCTTGGAGTTTTCGAGAGTCCTTCGCATCCGAAAGGCTGCGTGGGCAACGTGCGCCACACGCACGAGGAGGTTGTTCAATGCGAGCCGTGGCATGAATAATGATCGTCGCAGATGTCATGCTGGCGGGCGTCAATCACTGTAAGGCAGCGGCAGACTCGGGCTAGTTGCAATTCATCCCCAGCAAAAGAGCAAGGTACCAAAGTCCACCAAGTCGATCCTCTGGCAAAAACTTGCCAATACACAACCGACCAACATCCCTGCCGATATCTGCCGATCCTCCCAGCCACTCCTCCGCAGTCTCTCCCCATCCAGTAAAACTTCCGATGCTACTCCTCCCGCCACTCCTCCTCCTCCTTTTCCCGCCGCTCCTGCTCCTGCCGCCCTCCTCCTCCTCCTCCTCCTCCTACTCCTCCTCCTCCTCCTTCTTCACCTCCTCCTTCACCTCCTCCTCCTACTACTCCTCCTCCTCCTGCTCCTCCTCCTCCTCCTCCTTACAATCCCCTCCGCCTCCCGCCACTTCTCCCCCTCCTCCTGGTCCTCCTCCTTCTCCTCCTTCATCTCCTCCTCCTCCGCCGCCCCGCCAACGCTGCACGGGCCTCTTCGGTCTCCCAGTACTCCCAGCACGGTGTGCAGTAGAAGATACCGCGTTCGTCTGGGTCTTCCTCCAGGTTCTTGGTGGCCCCGCACTCCTCGCCGGACCCGGCTCCATGGGGAGACGAGTGGAGAACAGCAGCGCCTTGGACATACACCGTTTGAAAGCAAGATGCACATCGCAACGATCCTGGCGTTGGTTTCTGACACTTGCACGCATGCCATGAGAGGAGGCGGAGGGAGGAGGAGGAGGAAGAGGAGGAGGAGGAGGAGGAGGAGGAGGAGGAGGAGGAGGAGAACGTGTGGATCGCTCATCTCTGATCGATCGGCGCTTTGCGAAGCGGCGAATCTTCCAATGCCCATATATGCCCATCGATTCTCGGCCACCAGCGGCATTCCATCTTGAACGCCCCCGCCGGGGCCGCAGCCGCGTCGGCACTGCACGAACCTGCAGCACAATACGGCGCACAGCGCTGCTGGCCTGACAGGGTACACTGGGCATGGCAAGTACATGGCACGACGCCTTCGGCACGGAATGGCATGCACAGCATGGAGTGCACGGCACGGCACGCTCGGCACGGCCAGGGCGGGGGACTAATGCTGTCCGTGATGGCCCAGATCGTAGCAGGTCGCTCGCACTCGGCATCGCTTGAGGAATCGGCCTTCGATGTGTGTGTGTGAGTGTGTATGTGTGCATGTGTGCGTGCGAGTGTGTGTGTGTGTGTGTGTGTCTGTGTGCAGGTGTACGTGTGAAAGCGTGTGTGTGTGTGTGTGTGTGTGGGTGTGTGTGTGTGTGTGTGTTTTAACTGTTGCAGGCTTTTTGAAACGAATGCGTTCGTCGGGTCCCCCTGATGCTCGGAGGCATGCCTGACCGCCACACCGAGGGTGTTCCCTTTCAGCCGCCAGTTTCCCGCCACCGCTTGGGGACATCTCAGCGGCCCTGAGTCTCTTGAGCCTCAGCGATTAGCTGCAGCGATTGTGATCGATGATTGCCATTTCCGTTTTTTGGGGTACAGGCTACAAGTTACCAGGAGATCCCCGGGAGGTCATACACGAAGGGTGACACCTGCATACCTCAACCACGCACCCGCACACGCACACACACACACACACACACACATGCACATACACACATTCACAAACGCAATAACTCATAAACGCGCACACCGACGCACACACACACACAAACACCGACACACACGCACACGCACGCACACACTCAAACACATACACACATACTTTCGAGCACACACACACACACACTCACACATTCTCTCTCTCTCTCTCACACGCACACGCGCGCGCAAACATGGACTTCTGCCCCAGCGCCGCAGACATTCGTGAGAAATGTCTGCAACGGCTCACGGGATGGAGTGCGTTACGTATTCAGTATGGGGCTCTCGCCCCAGCGTCGCGCGCATTTGTTTGAAAAGCTTCCAACGCTGTGGAGGACGGAGGACGGCTCCTCCTCAAACTTGGGTTATCGTTCGAGACCCCCCTCTAGCCTTCAAGGCCTGGAGCTGCACGCATGGAGGGCGGCTCCTTGTCAAAGTGCGGCTCTCGCACGGGACTGCCTAAAAGCAGCATGGCCAGAAACGCAGACTTGCGCAAAGCTGGGATCTCGCTGGGCACCTCGCTGGACTACATGGTCCTACCTGCTCGCACTCCCCACGACTGGCCAGAAACAGACGCAAACCAACTCGTTTTGAAAGCGTGGTTGCCGACGGAATGGCAGGCCCACTGCGTCCCCTGTCGTTCGAGAAAAGGTCCGTGGAGACCTGCGAGGAGGAAGCTTCGGAAGGGAGGCTGTATTGAAGCATCCGTGATGCATCCGGGGTCTACTCAAGTCCTCCTCCTCCTCCTCCTCCTCCTCCTCCTCCTCCTCCTCCCTTCTATGCGCTGCAGCGCAAGTCCCTCGCCCTGCCCGGGGTGGCTCGATGCGTGGCGTGACTTCCGATGCCGCTGGCGTGCTGCCCCGTGCAGGGAGCGAGGGATGGAGAGGGGAGGGCAGGGACTGGAGGGGCAGGGGAGGGGGCGAGCGGGCGAGCGAGCGAGCGGGCGAGCGCCGATGCCGCTCCGTGCGCGCGCCCGGAGCGCCTCCCAGAGAGGTCGGCGGCGGGGCCGTAGCCCCTCAGACTGCATCAGCCCATCGTTTCCGAGGCCCGCGTGGGCGCCGCGCTGCGAGCTGGCAAACATGCGGGTCCCCATGGCACTGTAGCTCCATCGATCCGGGCTGCACTTGGAGATCCTCTGAACCCGTCGATCCGGCAGCATCGCTCCGGACTGCATGGGTGGGGGAAGGAGGGGATGGATGGAGGGAGGGGAGATAAAGGAGGTTAGGGAACGCCAGAAATGGCCACGGAGGAGGAACTGGTAGTGCAGGGTGGACGGGAGGCGCGACTGACCCTGACTGGGGAAAGCAAGGGAGAGGGGGGCGGCGGATCGTCGGCCCAGTCGGGCGGGGAGCTGTCCTTGCAGCGCCAGCGGGACTTCTTCCAGCTCGGATCCTCTTCTATGTAGCCACCTGGTCAACCATCCCATCCTCCAACGGAAGCTTCTGCCATCCACCTTCTTTCCTCCCGCACCCTCCTCCTCCTCCTCCTCCTCCTCCTCGTCCTCGTCGTCGTCGTCCTCCTCCTCCTCTTCCTCCTCATGCTCCTCCTCATCCTCCTACTACCTCATGCTTCCAAGCCTTACTCTTTAATGGACATTCATATATGCGGAACGACACAGGGACGAACAAATAGGACACTGAACGAACAAGAAGAGAGCACGAAACATAAAAGAAACGGAATGAAGCGCAACTGCACCAAAAAACAACTAATACAAGAAAACGTGGGTTCACTCACAAATCGTATGGCACGGAAAGATCCGTAGTCTCCAGCTCGAAGGCGAGCACCTCGGCTCAGAACGACGACGCGCCGCCTTCCAACTGTGTAAGTATCCCTCGGGGCATGACCGTCTGCTTACCGGATCAAGATTACGCGTTGGCTTCTTCCTCCCCCCTCCCTCCCCAAAGTCCCGCCTCACCCCATCCTACACTCTCCACACTCCATCCCTCTCCCCCCCTAGAGGAAGAACAAGAAAAAGGCATACACGCGAACTTTCGGAGGTCCGCGCGGATTTCTTGGATCTGCGCTCCACCCCTTCCGGCGCCGAAGGCGCCACCAGGAGGGCCCAGCGCCGATCCAAACCATCCGCGCGGACCGTCGAAAATTTATGCCGGTGCCGCTGTTACTTCGCCGACAATTTCCCGCCTCGCCCTCTCACCCCCTCTCCCCCCTCGCCCTCTCTCCCCCTCCCCTCACCACACTCCCCCCCGCTCCCTCACCCCCCCACCCCCCTTGACGAGCGCGTTCCACTACTGGCACAGTAACTACTCGCAGATGGCCCGGATCCGCCGCGGGAGACCTACGACAAACCTCATCGAATCAGGCATCTGTTTTTCGGACGTTTGCGAGCAGGCACTTTGCGAGTAATGGAGAGCGCTTGTTTGGACGCCCGAAATGGGTACGGAAAAATTTGATACGATGCCCAACAACAAATGCTGTCCCAAACCAACAGTGGCCGCTGGTGGGTAGGCGTCCTTCTGCCTCAAGTGGACGCAGACCGCGGCGGCGCGGACAGCGAGCGCTGTTCAAGATGAACAGGAGCTGCTGGGCATTGTACCCGTTCTTTCCGTGCCCGTTTCGTTCGTGCCGAGCTCGGTGACCTCCGCAACCTTCCGAGCAGCTCGCCGCGTGCCGGCCGGGGTGGCGGGGCCGGCGCCCGCCTTCGGGGCGCCACTTTTCTCTCTCTTTCCTCCTCTTCTCGGCCCGGGCGCGGCGCTCCTGGGGGGGGGGCGCCGGGCGGAGGGGGCCTCCGTCATCCGCCCTTCCTTCTTCCCATCGCCTCCTCTTCCTCCTGCTCCTCCTCCTCCTCGTTCTGCTCCTGCTCCTTCTCCTCCTGCTCCTCCTGCTCCTCCTCCTCGTCCTCCTCCTCCTCCTCGTCGTCCTCCTCCTCCTCCTCCTCCTTCTCATCCTCCTCCTGTGTACCCTCTTCATCCTTCTCTTCATTGTCCTCCTCCTCATTATCCTCCTCCTCCTTCTTTTCCTCCTTCTCCTCCTCTTCCTCCACCTCCTTCTCCTCCTCCTCCTCCTCCTGGTTCCTGGTTCCTGGTTCCTGCATGGTCGTAGCGACGAAGCCTCCCCTCCTCCTCCTCCGCCTGCTCCTCCTCCTCCTCCGCCTCCTCCTCCTCCTTTTCCTCCTCCTCCTCCTTTCCACCCTCTTCATCGTCCTCCTCCTCCTCTTCCCCCTCCTTCTCCTCCATTCCTTTCCTTATAAATAACTTCTCTCTGTCGCACCCCGAGGCCAGTTTTTAGGGCGGGCCGGGCGTTTCGCCTGAGACTTCCTCACCATGTATCACTCTGCAGCTTAAAAATTGACAGCAGTTTTACGTATGGAGGGCGGGTGGTTTTCAAAATGTGGCTCTCGCCTTCGCGCCGCGCACACTCGTTCAAACAAATTGCAGTAATTCGACGGATTGAGGGCAGCCCGTTTTCAAAATGTGGTTCTCGCCTTAGCGCCGCACACATTCGTTCTAACAATTTGCAAGGGTTTCACGGATTGAAAACAACCCGTTTTCAAAATGCGGTTCCCGCCTTCGCGCCGCGCACATTCGTTCTAACAAATTCCAAGAGTTCCACGGATTGAGGGCGGCTCCTTTTCAATATGTGGCTCTCGTCTTAGCGCCGCGCACATTCGTTTATACAATCTGCAAGAGTTTCACGGATTCCCATGGTCAACGTACCATAAATGGTGTTTGGGAGGGATTCAGGATTTTGCTGATGCAACAGTTACGCTTGTTCGCGGTGTTAAAATTCCAAGCATGGCGTTATGGCACGATCAAGGGTCGCCAAGACGCAATAATCAGGTTGATCCGTGGCGTTGGAATCCCGAGAACAATGTTTTGGCATGCTTCAGGGTCTTCACACGGTTGTCTTCCAATGGAATGAACCGTTGTAGGGGCTTCTGAAGAAGGAGCTTGGAGGGAGGGTGTATTCCCACATCGTTGATGGCTCGTGGGTTTGCACTGGTCCTCTTCCTCCTCCTGGTTCCTGCTTCCTGGTTCTTGGTGGCTGCATGGTCGTACCGACGAAGTCCCCCCCTCCTCCTCCTCCTCCTCCTCCTCCTCCTCCTCCTCCTCCTCCTCCTCCTCCTCCTCCTCGTCCTCCTCGTCCTCCTCCTCCTCCTCCTCCTCCTCTTCCTCCTCCTACTTCTTTCTCTGCCGTCCTCCTCATCTTCCTCCTGCTGCTCCTCCTCCCCTTCTTACTCCTTCTGCTGCTGCTTCTCCTCTTCCTGCTCCTCCTCCTCCTCTTCCTCCTCCTCCTCCTCCTCCGCCTCCTCCTCCTCCTCCTCCCCCTCCTCCTCCTCCTCATCCTCCTCTTCTTCTTCCTTTTTCCTCTTCTCTGGAGGACGGCGGAACGGGCCACACGGGGGGAGGACGGCCTGGGGGGTCCAAGGGCCATGGCCGGGGCTCGAGCCACGGGGGGGGCGGCGCAGCTACGCGAATGGCGACCCGATGCTGCGGGGGGGCGGTTCGGAGGCGTGGAAGGCTTCGCGCGTCACGCGGTCGCGGCGCCGATGCCACAAAACTGCGCCGCGCACGGCTGGCCAATGTGGACGAGCGCCCTCCAAGATCAGCCACGCGACTCCGGCGAAGGACCCATGGAGGGGCGCCCGGAAGGAAAGAACTTTCGGGCGGGTGGCAACGGGGGGTGACCTAAATGGGGGGTGAAAATAAGGGCCCTAAAGGGGCCATGTTAGACCCTTTTTGGAGCCAGAAAGGACCCAAAAGCGGCCTTAAAGGGGCCCTTTAGAGCCCTATTGTTCACCCACCATGTGGATCACCCCCAGTTGCCACCCGCCCAAAACTTCTGGGGCGCGCCGACGAACTTACGGGGTCTGGCTTCCGCGGGAAATCCTTGGCGAGGGATTCGGGTACGGGGGCAATCCCCGTTTCAAATTCCGGAAGAGGAATGAACTCTCAGCCGCGGGGGGGTCTCGCACGCGCTGTTCCAAACCCCCTTGGCGCAAACAGTGGAAAAGCGCGAGGGCCTGGATTGCGGATGCCATGCAGCAACGCTTTAGTAGTAGTTGTATTGGAATTGTACGAGTATTCGGTGCAGTACTTGCTGGTTCTATGGTGTTACGACTTGTACTAGGCAGTAGCAAGTGCACTCTAATGCCAGGCGCACTCTAATGCAACCAAACTTTCGAGAACTGAACCAAACCAGAAAAAAAGGGCTCCCCAAGACCGACGGCTCAGAAGTGGCCAGTGCGCGGGTCCAGAGATGAAAATACCAAAGTTTGCGACTCTGCGATCTGTGGGCTGGAACAGAAAGAATCTGGACTGCATCCCTCCGCGAAATCAGACGCACGTTTTCTTCCCGCGGCGTGGCGGTGCCTCCTACCCCCCAATGCCAATGCTCGCGCCGGAGCTGGCGACTGCAAATTTTACGCGGACGCTGGCTGCGTTGCGCGCGTCGCTGGTCGTTAAACTGGGTAGGCGAAGGGGTTGGACAACAACTCGCGTTTGATTTCGCAGAGGGTTGTGGGGCCTTGCACAAGCGTGGCGGGCAAGATGCTGCAAAGGCCGTGTGCTCTACCCCCGACGGAGCGGCTCCGTCTACAGGCGGACAGAAGACCCACCCTCGTAATAGGCACCCCGCCATGCGAAGACTTTGAGTAAACGCACCGAAAGAAGCAATCGAACAGGGCAGGGCTGTTTAGTAAACGCCCAAGACTATTCAATGAACGCCAATTCTGGGGGTCGGAGTGTTTTCTTCCTCGATTCTGAAACAAAAGTGAGACCACCCAAATCGGCAGCAGATGCAGGACGAGCCATTGCATGCCTGGCCGAGCTGTTTAAATCTCCTGGCGATCGAGGTTCAAATCTGTTATATTAATCGCTTTCGTCGAATATCTGCCGACCTGGCACCGATCGAACACTTCCTTGTGGCCCTTAAGGCGACGCGCTGTTCGGATCAGCTCGGGCGCGTGCCAGATCCTGGCGTCGAGGGGATGCCCGGGAATCGCTGCAGAGTCAGGAGGCTGCCCCCAAAAAAGGGCAAGTTCCAGGCCCAGAGGGGACGACCACGAGAAGGAGAGGGTGGCGGCAGAGGCGGAGGCGATGGAGTCAAGACCTGCGCCGCGAAGGCCTCCATGGACGAGCTCTGAGGGCGCCGTTGCTTGGGCGGCTGGAAGATGGATAGGACTTCGCTCTCGAGAGCCGCTGGAATGTTACATCGACAGCGCAGCGTCAGAGGGGCCACGGCGGCACGGGAAGGCGCGGCTGCCGCACTCCGGTCCCCCGCGGGACCGCTCGGTCAGCTCCGCCGTCGTGAAGCCCCAAGGCTCTGGAGTCGACCTGAGGGGCCCTCTGCCTAGTTACCCCGATACGCAACACGCAACACGTAGCGTGCTGACACGGAGCTCAACACGCAGACCGAACACGTAGGTCTGGCGCGATGCGTTCGCCAAACCGTGGACCAGCACGTTCCGAGCCAACACGCAGCGTGCTGACACAGACGTTTTGAAAACGGCTCGTGCTGCGGTTCGACACGGGCGCATCAGGGCAGGAAGAGGAGGAGGAGGAGGAGCAGGAGGAGGAGGAGGAAGAGGAGGAGGAGGCCGAGGAGGAGGAGGAGGAGGAGGAGGAGGAGGAGGAGGAGGAGGAGGAGGGGGAGGAGGAAATGGAGGAGGAGGAGGAGGAGGAGGAGGAGGAGGAGGAGGAGGACGACGACGAAGAGGCCCTGCGGCACCGCGGTCCACAGCGCCTCCCCAGGAGCTGCACGGTGGTCCCCACCGCCGCCCCCGAGCACCTCGCCCCGAGACCTCGGCGCCCCAGGGTGTCGCCCGCGCGCGCGAGCGGTTCGGTCCGATCCTCTGTGCTCCCGCACTCGCTCGCGCGCGGTAAGCGCGACAGCCTCCACAGATTGATCGCCTTGCCGCACCTCCGGTGCCCGCGGAGCTGGCGAGGGCTTGCCACCGCTCGGACGTCCGATCCCCGTGCATCGCTCGGCTTCGTGCGCGCTCTTGCTTCTCGGGGTGCCCCGAGGTGCTCCCCAGGATGGTCCAGACTGTCTGGTGCTAAACTCGCCAGGAAACACGCACACGTCCGAGCGATGCCAGGAGGATGTAGCTCCCCCCCGAAGTGACGGGCCAGCGGAGCAGCGGGGCGGCCCGCCCGACGGCCTTTCTCCAGGGGTTCTGTCCGCGGGGGCCCGCCCGACGGCCGGCCGACGCCAGCTGAGCCACAGCTGGGATCGGCCGAGGAGCCACGCTCAAGGCGCCCCTGGCCCAGGGTGCCCCCGGCTTTTCGCCCTCCATCTTAGAGCCCCTGGGGCACCCTGTGCCCCGTGATAGGGGTGCTCTGGAGGCCGTGGGGGCCACCTTTGAAATCCTGGGGGGCACCTTGGGCCAGCGGCACTTCTGGCAACGCCTGGAACGGACGCGGGCTCCGACAAATGAGGCCAAAGGCCGGCTTGAGAGCAACAGCCGTCCGAAAGCCACAATGGCCAGCACATGTGCACGCCTCCTCACAGTCGCTCCGGAACCACGACGAGCCAATCTTTCTTGCGTTTGCTAGCGCGACCTTGGGAGGCGAGGAGGAGAAGGAGGAGGAGAAGGAGGAGGAGAAGGAGGAGGAGGAGGAGGAGGAGGAGGAGGAGAGGAGGAGGAGGCGGGAGGAGGAGGCGGGAGGAGGAGGAGGAGGCGGAGGAGGAGGAGGAGGAGGAGGAGGAGGGGGAGGAGGGGAGGCGGAGGGGGAGGAGGAGGAGGGGAGGAGGAGGAGGAGGAGGAGGAGGAGGAGGAGGAGGAGGAGGAGGAGGAGGAGGAGGAGGAGGGGAAGGAGGAGGAGGAGAGGAGGAGGAGGAGGCGGGAGGAGGAGGAGGAGGAGGGAGGAGGAGGAGAGGAGGAGGAGGAGGAGGAGGAGGAGGAGGAGGAGGAGGAGGAGGAGGAGGAGGGAGGAGGAGGAGAGGAGGAGGAGGAGGAGGAGGAGGAGGAGGGAGGAGGAGGAGGAGGAGGAGGAGGGGAGGAGGGAGGAGGAGGAGGGAGGAGGAGGAGGAGGGAGGAGGAGGAGGAGGGGAGGGAGGAGGAGGAGGAGGAGGAGGAGGAGGAAGGGAGGGGAGGGGGAGGGGGAGGAGGAGGAGGAGGAAGGCGGAGGAGGAGGAGGAGGAGGAGGAGGAGGAGGAGGAGGAGGAGGAGGAGAGGAGGAGGAGCACCAGCGCCGCGAGGGTTACCCCCGGCAACAGAGGCCGAGGCCCTGCGCGGGGCCCGTAGGCAGCTGCGGCAGCAGCAGACAGCAGCAGGGGCAACGGCAGTCGAAATCCACAGTAAGGACGCAAGGTAAGGGTGCAAGACCATTGGCAGGCCCATTTGCTATCTGGAGCTCCCTGGACGTCAACATGTGCTCAAGATGGGCCGAAGAGGCAGGGATGCAAGGGTAGCATCGATGAAGCAGCGCGTCCTCACTGTGGATTCTGAGTGTAAGGCCACGACCCCATGAGCTGACTGAGCCCCTGCGGACAGCCACCGCCGCAGCCACCAGGAATCTCGTCTGCGGAACATCCTGGCGGGAGCCTGAGGTCGGGACCCTGCGAGCATAACCCCGTGGGCGGGAACCTGTAGTTGTTCCAGCGGTTGGATCACCGCGGCCCAAAAGAGGGGAGCCTACGAGCGAGACCCCTCACTGCCAGCTTGTGATTAATAAATGACGACCGCCTCCCCCGAGGCTGATGAATAGATCCCGCGGAGCGCGAGATATTCCTTTACATCATGCGCGCCAGGGCTCGGAGGGCTCGGGGTGCCACCGCGCCGCGGATGAAGACAAGCGGCATGAACGACGCGCCGCTTCCGAGGGGGAGCACGCCCGCGCAGTGCAGCGCAGTGCTTGTGTGAGTGTTCCGCATATGAATATATGCGTTGACCCAGGAGCAAACGACTTCGTTCGTTGACGTGGCCCGGCAATGAGCGCTGCGCGCTGCCCGCTGCAGGGAGATTCCCGATGGCAGAGCAGGGATACGACTGCGGCGGCGGGGAGGGCGACGGCAGCGGCGGCGACGGCCCTTGCCTCTGCCGCCCCTCCCTCCCGCCTCCTCCTCCTCCTCCTCCTCCTCCTCCTCCTCCTCCCGCCTCCTCATCCTCCTCTCCTCCTCCTCCTCCTCATCCTCCTCCTCCTCTCCTCCTCCTCCTCTCCTCCTCCTCCTCCTCCTCCTCTCCTCCTCTCCTCCTCCTCCTCTCCTCATCGCCTCCTCCTCTCCATCCTCCTCCCGCCTCCTCCTCCTCCTCCTCCTCCTCCTCCTTCCTCCTCCTCCTCCTCCTCCTCCTCCCTTCCTCCCTCCTCTCCTCCCATCCAGTCCGTGGCCATTTTGGCCCGAGCGCCCCGGTGCAGCAGAAGCGCTGCTGCGCCTGTCGCCCTCTCGCTGGCGGCCGGGTGTCGGCGCTGATCACGGGTGCCGCTGCCGTGCTTCCAGCTGGCGGGCGTCCCCCCCCCCCCCCCACCACGATCCGCCCGAGCAGGGAGGCCACTCTGTGAGTCCCGCGCCTGGCTTCTCGTTGACGTTGTGCGGAGACCTGTGCGACAGGACCCTGCGGAGCGCGGCCCTGCGGGCGGAACCTTGTCGGGTGTGGGGTGAGACCCCGTGGGCAGCACAGGCCCCCGCGACCACGAATGCAGTAGAGGCTCGACCACAAGAAACCTTCCACAAGAAACCAAACCCTGAGACCCTAGGACGTCCATTGATTTTTGGTGTGGGAGAATCACGCCGTCCACGGCAGAACCATTGAAACCCAAGGCGCCCAGGGCACCCTGGAGGCAAGCAGGGTGTTTTTTGGCATGGGTCTCCACTGTAGGTGGGAAACCGTGGCCAGCAGTGGTCGGACCCAAACCCTGTTGGGTGGGATCCTGTGGCCAACATAGATAGGCTGATCCATCTCTCCCTCTCTCCCCCGGCTTCTCCCCTGAGCCTTCGCAGCGAGAAGCGGAGATGTGTCCGTTGCCCGAGTCTTCATGAACTGCAGCAGCGGCGTGTCGCCTGGCGTTGCTGGCCTGAGTTCCATCTTGGGGTTCGGAGGCGCGTCGTAGGTGGTGGCCTTGTTGGCCAGGCCCTCGAGGAACTCCTCCCCATGGAGAGGAGGCGGGAGGAAGGCGGAGGAGGAGAGGAGAGAGGACGATACAGAGGAGAACGAGAGGGCATGAACAAGGGGGAGGATGCGGGAACGAGGATTGGATAATTCGCATGCGAAACGGCCAAGTGGACCGCTTGGTCTGAAGGAACAGCGACCTGGCGTGCCAGACGTTTCGCCTCAGACAGACTAACCGCTTGTGATCCTGAAGCTTCATGGTCCCAGTAAGTACAAATATGTACATCGAATCGTAATCGAACTGTGGCTCTCACCTTGGCGTCGCACTCATGTTCTGGACAAGCTCAGAACAGCTACACGGTGCATGGCGGCTGCTATTCCAAATGTGGCTACCGCCTTAGAGCCGCGCGGATTCGCCTGGAACGCTCCCTACGACTGCACCTCACACTCGTTTGACATCGAAACTGCACGGATGGAAGGCTGCTCCTTTCCGAAATTGGCTTCTCGCTCTGGCGCCACGCACCATCGTCTGTTTTGCAGTTCCCCACCGGCTGGTTACACGGAGAAGGGACAACTCCCGCTCATGACGTGGCCTTCCCCTCGGTGCTGTGCACATTCGTCTGAAAAGCTTCCAGCAGCTTCGCGGGTGGACGGCGGCTTGTTTCTGAGGTGGGGTTCTAGCTCAAGGCTTCCTCGGACCACTCTCGCCAGACACGGTAACACTGACGGAGGGCGGCGTATTTTCAAAATCGCGCGGTCGCTGGAGATGTCCCCCAAATCTATCGACTGACGATGGGCGGAAGTGTAGACATAAGCAGACCTGCCAGAACATGAGGAAGGAGGCAGCGAGAGGAAGGGGGAGAGGAATCTCAGCACATGACGCGGTGTGCGACCACAACAGTCATAACAAATCGCAAGTAAGCACCTGGCAGCGCGATCACAACCACGGATGGTTCCACGCGTCCACGCACCCAGAAGTTTACTAGGGGTGGTTCGGTGTGTTGTCGCCGAGGCGCCGAGAATAGGCCGTGGCGGACGGCCACTGGCCCATAGCGCCCAAACAGCATGCATGCCCGGAGCGACACCTGGCAAGAGCGGGCCAGCACGTAGGGACAAAGACGAACACAGTCTGGAGCACGTGGCCAAGCACGAGAGAGGGCAGAGGCGAGCGCCGGAGGACAGGCAGCCCCCGGAGAGAGCAAAAGGCGTAGGGGGAGAGCCCGCGCGCCGGCGCCTTCAGAACGCGGTGAGGTCGAGAGTAAATCGCCGAGTCGGAAATATCGTTGAAGAATCTGGCCATGGATGTCGTGTACTTAGGCGTGGCGCCCGCCAAGCAAGTAGTAGAAGTCGGAGCGTTTGCTGATACCGGACGCCAGGGAAACCATGTGTTAAGCGAGTTCCACCGTCGCCTGTTGGCAGGTCGTGCGTCGGAGCCGCCGTCAGGTCGTGATCATCGTCGTCGTCGGATGGTCAGTGTCGTGTTCCTGGTACCCGTCGTGCGTCGCACTTCTTTAATTTTCTGTATATTGATGATCGGTGTCGCGCTCCTGGTATTCGTCGTGCGTCGCATCCGACGTCAGTGCCGGCGTAGGGGCCGACGTCGGTGTCGGCGTCGGCGAAGGTGCTGGCGTAGACGCGGGTGTCAGTGCAGGGGTCGGCGACAACGTAGGTGTCGACGTCGCTGTTGGCGACGGGTGCTGGAATAGGCCACATCGTTAGTGCTGGGACGGTGCCGACGTCGGAATCGGCGTCGGTGCTGGCGACGGTGCTGGCGTAGGCGCTGGTGTTGGTGCCAGGGTCGGTGCCGACGTCGGCGTCATCGTCGGAGCTGGCGACGGTGCTGGCATAGGCGCCTGCGTCGGCGTAGGCGCCGACGTCGATGTCAGTGTCGCTGCTCGCGCGGAGCGGCCGTCGCTCCCACAGAGTCTCCAGGATCCAAAAATGGTGGGGCGGCGGTGCCTGCCCCCTCTGGGACGTTCAGTGGAACAAGAAGGGGCGCCGTGACATCTGGGGAGTTCGCATGGCCCCCGCCACGAGGTCCAATCACCAACAGTCGAAACACTGTCATAAGAAACCCTGCGTGAGTTGTATTACAAGGCCCCTTTTTCTCCCGGAAGTGAAGCTTCGATTTCCCATAGGAAGCACCAAAGGAACACCTGAGACAAGCTGTAAAACTAAAACAATAAAGGAACACTGAGCCCCCCCCCCTCAATGAAAAAGGCTCCTTCATCAGCGGCCCGACTGCAGTCACCATCCCCTTCCCGCCATGAGATGCCCCCCTACAATTGGACCTACGCCAGAAGAGCACCCCTCAAGAACGACATCCCCCCCTCCTTACCGAGACGCCGCCACGGGAAGTTATTCGCCGCCTTCGGCTCTCGGGGGGCCCTTACCAGGCCCCGGGGCCGTCCACAAAAACGACTCGGGAGGAAAAAAAAAAAACGGTCCATGGAGAAGGGGGTCCAGACCTCCGGGGGTCGACGTTGCGGAAAAAACACGATGTCGGGGGTCAGGGTCCTGGCCGCCCCCTAGCTGAGGAGGAGGAGGAGGAGGAGGAGGAGGAGGAGGAGGAGGAGGAGGAGGAGGAGGAGGAGAAGGGAGGAGGAGGAGTAAGAGTAAGAGTCAAGCTAGCCAGCTCGAGCGAGTCAAGCATGGCATGCCCAGTCCCACCCGCCCTCCCACAACATAAGAAGCAAAGCTGGCACAACTGGGGGCCGAAGTCACACCGGCCAGCCGGTTTGGTACAGCTGATGCGGCCGCGATGGCGGTTGCCGACGGGAACTGGCGAGCGCGTGTTGAATGCCGCGCACGCATTGCCAGACGAGTCGAGAATGGCCCGGTACACCGCAGGAAGCCAGAGGTGGCCGGAGGAAGCCCGACGGTCTGACAGGACACCCCAAAGCATTTTTGTGAAAAAAACATTGGGTTTTTGATGTTTTTATGTTGAAATGCTTGCAAACACACGGTGTTCGGTAGGATTCTGACATGAACGCGCGAGTGTGCTCTTTGTGGTATTTTTTGCACAGGATTCGCGGCCTGGGTGCATGACAGAGCATCGCGAGTGCACCGCGCGATGACGTGAAATCGCTGGATTTGACCGAATTCTTAAGATTCCTATGGTTTTCCTATGATTTCAGCAAGAGAGCCCGGGCGGGAAATTTGTACAATTTTTGTGAAAAAAAGCATTGGGTTTTTGATGTTTTTATGTTGAAATGCTTGCAAACACACGGTGTTCGGTAGGATTCTGACATGAACGCGCGCGTGTGCTCTTTGTGGTATTTTTTGCAATGGATTATCGCCGTGGACGACAGGACGTCCATGTCGAGAGGAAAAAATAAGAAAAATGTTGATGTTATATTGTTTTTTACAGGTTAGGATGGGACCCCCCGGATGCGGCCCCTAATGGCCGGCCTGAGGGGGGAGTAGGAGTATATTCTAATAAGGAATAAGGATCAGAGTCCCTAGACGATGTCCAACCTCAGACGCCTTAAATGGGAAGCCCTTTCTGGACTCTCTTGGCCCGCTGGGCCTCCGCGAGGGCCTTGGGCCACAACGAAACTTTAATTCAGGCTAGGTAGCCAGCTCGGGTCGGGGTGGTCTTATACACACACTGCTTCCCCAACCCAAGCAACTGCTGATCTGCAAACATGCCACACACCGCACAGAGCCATACATTGACGTCCTGATGGTACCTGAGCTTGTGAGACCTGTGCACCCACCCCCCAGCGATGTGCAACTCCGCCCCCTGGGGAAGGGTTCGCAACGCACAGTCCAAGGCCACGAGTTTGAAACACGGTGACCCTCTCCACTTCCGACGCTCGGCGGTCGACGCTGAGCCACGACACCTGCGGCACCGACGCCCCGAATCGTCCAACGCGTGCGAACTGGACAGGATGGAGACAGCATCGGGGCACGGCGGCGGCAAGCAGAGCTGCAAAGGAGGGGGAGGAGGAGGAGAAGGGAACCCTCCCTCACTCAGATCCCCTCGGCGGCAGTCCTGCTGGGCCCTTGCCAGGGCCTCCTCCGCTGCCATCGAGTCAATGGCCGCCCGTAGCAGCCTCATTCGTACCAGAAATGCACGATGTTCCACTTGCGCCACTCGTGTGCGATCGACCTGGGGCAGCCTGGCCATTCTCGCCGCCTCTCCTGCAACGATGTCAGCCATGGCGCTCCCGCAGACCAACCAATTTGATACACGCGCTGCTGCCGCCTCTGCGGCCGACATATGAGAATTCACGAACAACACAATGATATGCTCAGCTGGTCGGCGACCTAGCTTTTCTCCAATGCGTGCCCACAATTCTGCAGAGCCACCACTCGGATTCCTGAACTGCTTGTCGTACCAGCCGTTGTAAACTGACTGGTTGTCTGTGATATAAACAGGGTGGTCTGTGGAAGCTCGAATTGCCATCCATAGCATATACAGCTCACCGCGGGGCACCGTCTGGTTCCCTGGCAGCGGGCCCATGATGACTCCTTGGATGGTCAAATCCTCCTCGCTATTAACCATCACCAGACCGCATCCTACCCGGCGAAAGCGAGGGTCCCTGGAGTCAGGACCACCCGAGACTGGCTGTGAAACTGAACCTGGTCCTGCTGCGTCGTCGTCAACTCCATTACGAAAGAGCCCACTGCCGAGCCACGCCTCCGCCGCACAAGGAGGTGTGACTTCCGTCCAGCTTCGGGGAATCAGCCCGCGCAGCCAGAACGCCTGATCACACTCGTGTTGTGCCGCGGCTGCTGGCAGCAGCTCGTCTGACCGACGATGCGCTTCTGCTTCGACATTCATCTCACAGATCCAGCTGCGATGGTAGGCCGACTCAACATCTTTCCGACATCGGGGACAAAGCGGGCAGATATCCAGCTTGGCTGTAGCGGCTCCACGCCGCTCCCGCGGCCATGCGCCACCCGCACTGATGGAGACCATGACCTCCGCTAGCCTACGTCCACGGGGGAGGGCTTCAAGATATTTGAGCAGCCATCCCAGAGAAACGTCGTCCACCCCATCTTGCAAACCACTGCCGCAGAAATGTCGA